TTGCTTAATAATTCCCACATTTAGTTTGCTTACTTTCCTTTGGAATGAGCATGAATAGTATGTCTTCCAGATGAGTAGGTGATTCCATGTTGCATACATTCATGGAAGAATTTTCATTGGAATTCTGCACGTTGTTAGATTCCTGTTCTTCATCAATGCATTCAATACGTTTGAACCTCTTTCTTCAAGACCATCAGTTCTTGACCACATGCTACCTCCATAAATGGTTGAGTGCCAACCAATTATGATTGGTACAGTGACTCTATGTATTCCTTCCATCTTCTTTTGATGTTTCCTGCACCAATTTTTTTACCCATAAAATCTTTCAATATTACCACTCAAACCTTGAACTTTCCCTTTACTTTTTGCACTTTGAGAAATTCCAATTATGTTCTTCCCTTTTGATGTTCTAACTCCACGTTTCCGCACATTTCACTACAATACATCACCTTGTCTTCTCAAGTGGCCCTTTGAAATATTCCGCTCTTTTACTCCATTTCTTTTGTTCTCTTCAGCTACTCTGAACTGAAGAGAGAGTGTCAGAGCCCTGTCCGACACTCGCTTCAGTCACTTCTTGCTTGTCCTTGGATGACTTTCCCATGTATGATGGATGTCCTTCACACCTTTCCACAATTCTCCTGGTCTCTTAGTCATCAGTGTTCAGTTGTGAAATCTAACTTTTAAACTGTTTTTACATGCATTCTTTATCTCTGGTGGACTCGCTTTGATTTTCTTCAGTTTCAATTGAACATGTACATGAGCAGCTGACGGTCTTTTCCAGTCAGCCCTGAATTTCTCTTGACTGACGATAATGAGTGTCTTTATTATTTCATTCAAGGTCTGAAATCACTTTGATTTCTATATAGTTTCTCTGGCAAGGTCAAAGTGTACAGTGTTTAACTGTATTGTTGAAAAAGACATCTCAGATGAGTAAGTCACTGGTGTCGCAGAATTCTAGCACATGTTCTCCGTCTCTCTCTGTCACTAGTGCCGTATTTTCCAACAGTGTTCTCTTTCTGTCCTCAACGTTCACATTTCAATCACCAGTGTTTATCAGTGCACCTTGATTACATGTTTGACCAACTGCAGACTGTAGTAGGTTATAAAATGATTATATTTATTCACCTTTGACATCCATGGTTGGTGCATATATTTTAGTAATAGTCCATTTTAACCAGCCCATCACATTAGCTAGTCTTCCTTGTAGGCATATGGGCATTAACCTGTCACCAATCACACTGGACTTCATGATCACTCTGACTTCCTCAATGCCTGCCATCAGGTCAAATCCTGCTTCTAGCAACCCTAGAGGACAGAACCGGACCTGCCCCTACAGGTCTCTGAGACTGTAAGTATTGGCGGGAATAGAAAGCCTCATCTTTCTCCTGCAGATTAGTCTGTGGTTTCAAACCGTTGATCTTGCACTTAGCAGACTACACCTGGCCCGTTATCGCACCAGGGGTCCTGTACAAATTGAAGAAACACTATCATGATAAATGCAGTGCTGTTCCTCATCAACTCGTAGTTCTTGGCAGAGGACCATATGATTGTCAGATTCAAAATAACCAATACCAACTCATTTCAGCTCACTATCACCCAGCATGTCATTCTTTAAGCAGTCCAATTTGTTTCTGATGACCACTAATTTTCCTTGCTACTTGTTATATTTCATATTCTAATTGCTAACCAATGTTCACAGTTGTTATTTCTGATTTTGACTCATGCCACATTACGCAAATGAAGGCCCATGTAGTTTTACTCCACCCACATGAGAAGAGGCAATTCACACTGTGACTATCTTTTGACCTAACGGACTCGTCTCCAGCACTATATGTTTCTATGCATAAGGTGTTCACTGACTAACCTTTCGTAGATTACTGGCACCTTCCTGCCAGTCTAGAAATCCCTCTGAAACTTGTCCATCATTAGTAAGCCTGCGGTATTTGAAATACTGGTTGCACAGCTTCCAGCACTACAGCAAAACGCAAATCATCACAGGATGGCAAGACAAATCTTTACATTCAATCTAGTGCAGTACTTGCCACAATATACCCTCTAATTTTGGTCTAATTATCAGCTTTCCATTAGCCAAATGAGTTGGTTGAGAACAGAAAATGTTGCCAAAAGTTTCACTAATAGATGCTGCTACATGCCAGGTGCTGGAGGTGTGAAGATGAAAATATATTTCCTATTTTAAGAAGCTTACATCCTCCTACTAAGGCAAACAATTTTTGTCACAATCACTATACAAAAGTGTTACACAGGACGCAGTGGGATAAGGAGGAGAAGGAAAATCACAGTTGAACTGGGAGAGTTAGAAAGGGTTTCACAAATGCAGCCATGGTTGATGTGGCTGAGTAATGGGTCTTCTACCAATTAGCAATCAATTCATAAGGGGGGGGGCAGCATTTACAAAACATGGAAAATCATGAATGTATGATCCAGAGTATGATGTGTCTAAAGATACAGAGATAGCTTCGTATTACTGAAGTTTACAATTAATGGAGCAGAATGGAACATGTTTCCAAGGTTTGACAAAGACAATTTCTTTCCTACATTGCCAGCAAGGATTTGACAGGTAGTATAAGAACATAGGGATGTCACCAACACAAAGTGGACACAGGAAAAGCAAGCACTTGTCTGTTTTTTGCCTGTTTGACAGCTTTCTGCTAATTCCTAGGAACAATATACATTAAAACTAACAAGATCAAGTTGCTGGACCATCAAAAGTTGGGGGTTTCAGTAAAGAGTTCTAGAAACATTTGCTGTTACCTTGTTTGCTATTACTATGGGGCTTTGAAGAATTCTTGGGAAAATGAAATGAAAAAATAGAGTTTTTTCCAAGAACTTTTAAAAGCCTCCTCGTATAATGCTTCACACGTCTTTGATGATTACCTACCCAGAGATATGAGTGGAAAATAATATTGTTTAAAATGAAGGTGCTAGGGATTGGTCCCTCTGGCTCTGACACTTTACCAGCATTAGGGAAAGAACAACAACCAAAGACAAAAAAAATTGGTGGCAAATAACAAAGTGAAACATCGCTTCACCTAAGTGTAAAATAACATCATCTTCTAAAACCTACCTGTATTCGACACAGACAGATAGCATATTCCTTACAGCTTCTTGAATCAGTCATTCATATAGTGAGGAGTATCGAGAGAAAATCAACTGCATTTGCAGTATCTACTTGGTATGATAAAGGTGCCCTGGTGGTGCGGTGGGTGAGGAATTCCAGTGATTTACAGTCTCAGAAACCCTAAATAGGTCACGATGAGTTGAAATTGATGGCACTGGGTTTCGAAATGGATATGGAAGGAATATTGGTGGTGCAGTGGGTTAAGTGTCGGATTGCTATCTTCAAGGTCAACAATTCAAACCCACTAGCCACCTTATGAGAAAAAGAAGAGGCTGTGTGCTCTCACAAAGAACTATGTTTTCAGGAACTCGATGAAGCAGTTCTACTCTATACTCTACGGTCATAATGAGTCATAACCAGCCAAAGTTGACTTAAAGGCACTGTGTTTGTTTCTTAATTTACTACGCAATACAAGATGGTAGTGATACTGCACCTTTGGTCCTCGGAGCTTGGTAGCTTTGCCCATCAACTTTTCATCATCAAGTTCACATTGCTCCAGAAGATCCAAAATGTCTTCCTCCTTAAAAGTAACACTTGAGTGGGTGAAATCAGCAAGATGCGATAACAAGCAGATCCATGATCCTATTATATCATATATACAAATGAAAACAAGCCAAACCAATTTTGCTAAAACTCTAAAACTGGACACCATAGTATGACAACCAATTGAAGGTTGAATCAAGAAAAGCACGACTTCAAAACGGGAGGAAATATTTGCATTATTTTTAACTTGGCATACCCCTTCACCGGCCTGCAACAGTGGAAGTCTTAAAGTGGTTACATCGCACATTTCTGGAGAGGCTCTCCAGAGGAAGAAGAGTAACTTGCAAGACTGTGTATGTCTTTTCTAATCTGTCTGGAATCAGTCTGAAGGATTAATGCAAGGTGCTGGTGTGTGTCCTGCCTAGCTCCAAACTCACACAAAGCAGAAAATGCAACAGGCCTTGGCTGAACACGACTGCCCCATGTAGCCATCTAGAATAAAGCAGATGCCCGAAGACTAAAAGGGAAACCACGGGAAAAGCCTCCTTGGGAAAGTAGGGTATTTCAAAGCAATCATGAACGTACGCATACTTAGAAAACCACGCTCAGGCCCAAGGCAGGACGCCTGGGAAGGAAATGCCAGAGAAACTCTTGCGGGGCTGCTCTCCCCAGGCTCAGTACGAGCCTAGTAAACGGGGAAGAGTAGCCAGCAAAGAAGCAACTGCAAAGACTGGGAGAGGGAGTTGTTCGGTTTTTCTTTAGTTTTGCCTGTTTGTGTGTGAATTCGTTTTGTTTTGATTTGGGGTTTTTTTGGTTTTCTGATTGATTTGTGAGTGTGCACATTTGTGTTTTGTTTTGCTTTCTTTTGATCCTAACATTCAAGAAATTCTCTGTTGAAATGCAAGCCAAGGAACAGAAATTTCAATAAGTACATACGACCAGCAGACAGTCTGTGCAGAACTTACTTAGGAAAAGTCACTAAACAAATGAGTACTACAACTTTCTGTAATTTAAAGACAAACCATCAAAACCCCCAAAATATCAATCCGTGGAGAAGGTAGAGACTCTGATTTCCAGAGTTACGACTTTGTAATATTCAAATATGCAATTTTAAGTAAAATTCACAAGGCATTTAAAAAGGGGAGTGACTAGGGAAAAGAACAAAGGAGCAAATGGTCCCATAGGAAGCAGGTAGCACAGGCTTGCTGGACAATAACTTCAAGGGACTGTATTCAAGATGAGTACGAAGCATAAAAAGAAACAACATGGAGAAGGTCTAGATTTTAAAAGTATAATAAATAAAATGAAACATTCAAAGGAGGGATTCTACAACAGATTTGAGCAGGCAGAAGAGCAGATCATTGGAATTATCAAGACTGAGGAGAAAATAAGAAGTAACCAGACACTGAGATATTTCTGGTCCACCGTCCAGTAGACTAATATTCGCGTAATGTGTATGACGGGAATACCAGAATGAAAGAAGAGAGTAAAAGGGAAAGAATATTAGAATAAGTAATGGCAAAATCCTCCCAAATCTGAGAAAGGAATTCACACATCCAAAAAGGGTCACAAACTTAGAATAACATAAATTCAAAAAGCACCACACAATCAGACACAATGGAAAAGACTGTAGAAAATCAAAGACAAAAGGGAATCTTGAGAAAGAAGAAAGGGAAATCAGTAAATCTGAGCTATCCTAAGAAAGATGGATATCTCACGTCTCACTGGAAACAGAGAACCCAAAAGACAACATGATGACATCTTTAAAGTGTTGAAAATTTAAAACGTCCATCAAAATTTCTGTATCTGGCCAAACTATTTCAAAAGTAAAAATGAAATTATGACATTGCCATAGCCAAAAGCTGAAAGAGTTTGTTGGCCGTAAAATAGAAACTCACTATTATCAAATCAAGTCCAACTCGTAGCAACCGTACAAAACCCACTGTCTCTGAGACACAAAGAAAACAAATAGCAAAATGACAAAATAGAGCTACTCACTCCGGTAATTACCTTCAGTGAAAATGATTAAATTCACAGTCAGAAGGCAGAAATTGGCAGAATGGTACATGATCTTACTATATTCTGTTCATAAGTGAAAGGATAGGAAAAATATTCAATATAAACAGTTACCAAAAGAGAGGGGAAGCCTTCCCAACACAATCGCTGAAGACAAATGTGTGCATAAGCAAATGTGTGGAAGAAAGCTGGCAATGCCTAGCGATAAAAAAATATAGCGTCTGGGGTCTTAAAGGCTTGAAGATAAACAAACGGCTATCTAGCTTAGAAGAAAAGCACACCAGCCTGTGTGATCATGAGGTGTCGAGGGGATCAGGTATCAGGCATCAAAGACCCAGAACAAAAAATCATATCGATGTGAATGAGTGAGAGTGTGGAGTGGAGACCCAAAGCCCATCTGTAGAAAATTGAGCATCCCCTTACAGAAGGGTCACAAGGAAGAGACGAGCCAGTCAGGGTGCAGTATAGCACCAATGAAACATACAACTTTCCTTTATTTCTTTAATGCTTCTTCCCCCGACTATCATGATCTCAATTCTACGTTACACATCCGGCTAGACCAGAGCATGCACAGGGGTACAGATAAGAGCTTGCAACACAAAGAATCCAGTATAGTTAAACCCCTCAAGACCAACAATGAGAACAGAGATACCAGGAGGGTAAGGGGAAGGTGGGGGAAGAAAGAGGGAACCTATCACAATGATCTACAAATAACCCCCTCCTAGGGGGCCAGACAACAGAAAAGTGGGTAAAGGTAGACATCGATCAGTGTAAGACATGAAAAAATAATTTATAATTTATCAAGGGTTCATGAGGGTGGTTGCGGGTAAGGAGGAGCTGATACCAAGGGCTCAAGCAGAAAGAAAATGTTTTGAAAACGATGACAGCAACAAATGTACAAAGGTGCTTGATACAATGGATATATATATATATGGATTGTGATAAGATCTGTATGAGCCCCCAATAAAATGATTTTTTAAAGTAAAAATTTTGCTGTATGTAAGATTAAAGTAGATTGTTTTTTAAAAATATTTTAGACACATTTTGCCTCATTTTCTTTTAACCAGATAAAAATGTATCCCTTACCTTCATCCTCTTCAAAGGATTATTCATTTCTCTCTGTAATGAAGCTGCTCTTCCTGAAAGGAAAGTCTGAAAAGCAACAGCCAATAGATTTTCATACTTCTCCAGCAGTGCTCTATCTTCAGGAGGGTAAATCCGTCTACAATAGAAGCAGAACGCCAAGTCAAGATCCACTACATGGATCATTCTTGACCACCTACTGGCAGTAATTTTACTAGGTGCTAGGATTAAAGGCAGATATACTTGTAAAATTTTCATAAACGTCCATCTGTTACCGACACAGATTTTAAATGGACATAGAGAAGAAGGCCCGTGAAACCATGCAGTTCCATAAAGACCGATGTAAGTTTGGTTGGAGTAGTAACAGGAGAAGAAAGGCCAAGGGATCAGAGTGGAGAAAATACATTTCTAGGAAAGAGTGCAGATTGTGTGGAATATTTGGGAGCTTTGGATTTCATGAGTGAATGAAATCACATATAGAAATTAGCCCTGATGATATCTTTTGGCATCGTGGCAATTTGCTTCATTGGTGGAGAGAAATGGGGTAGATGGTGTATAGACGTGGCAGTATATATGGATTAATGTGTTCTTATCATATGTGAATTGTGTTAAGGCCTAGGAAAGCTAGCAGTTCTCTGCCCCTCGCTTGTTCTTAATCTTGGTTAATAAAAGTCAAAGTGTGAGGGAAGCAACAGTCTTCCTGAGAAGATAAGGGGCTCAGGGGTTGCTCTTTTGATGCTGCCATGGTGGTAGCTGTGGAAGGGCTCCAGAACATGTCATCATACTGGGCTGCTTCCCACATCTCCGTGATCACAGTGGTTCCTGAAGCATTTGAGCTTATAACAAAGACGAGCGAACGCATTGGCAGAAAAGACACTAGACATCGGAATCCTTACTTCCTCAAAATGCCACATTAGAACCAAATAAGGTTACAGGTTAATGGAAGATCAAGAAGACCTGGTACCATCAGCCCCAAGGCTGCCTAGAGAAGCTCTCCCAAGCATGAACCTTTTCTTGCTGGCTACTTTTAATTTCTGAGAAGATAGTACAGAACACACTTTCTTAAAGTGGAAAAGCAAACAAAAGTCTATGCGTAAAATAAACTCAAAGGTTAACAACGTAGAGGAATTTCTTTGCTATTTCACCCCTTCAAAATGTATGGAACTAGAAGTAGAGTTACCTATAATTCCCCATATGCCGATTTTCATGCTCTTCTTTTGAGATTTGCTTTCGTACTTGAGCGAGTCTCTCTTTCTGGAAATGATGAGATTTTGTGAATGAAATCAACAAGTGAATCATACAGTTCAAAATGTAGGTAGTCTATTACATCTTCCATACCAATTCCTCTTTCCTCCTCACCAGTTGGTGTCGCTGCTGTTCCCAGTCTGAGGAACCTGGTAAGAGTCTTCTTAGTGAAGTCTGACCATAAAGCCTCCTCTGAGCCTCAGCTTTTTGTTTGGCCAAGTTTCTTCTTTTATCACTGGTCCTAAAATATAAGACATAAGACCATACTCTAAAATTCAGAGAGCTGTGATCTTATTTCCATGAAGAGAGTTGGCACAGGGAGAAATGCTGGAAGAATGAATACATATTTGATTAAATTTACATGTATATACAGGCACATATATGCACACACACTATATTCATCTAGTCATCCATCTCTATGGGTCTCCATATGGTACACAGAAGTTCTATAGCAAGATCAAATGGAAATACAATATTTTTTGTGTTTTTTTTCTTCCATAGTTTAAATATATTAAAAAGATTTGCATAATGATCACCACGATCAATTTAGAACATGTTCTTCATTCTTTTATCCATTATTATTAGCTCCCCCTCACTCCCGAGCCGCCCCAGCCACAACCCTAAGGAACTGTGGATCCAGTTACTGTCCCTACAGATTTTCCTATCCTGAATTTCATACAAAGAAAATCATACAAAAACACCAACAATGACAATGAAATACAACAGGAAAACCTCAATCCAAGTGAAAGCAGAAGACAGTAAAAACTAGAACAAATTAAGAATGAGTCAAAAGGGTAATCTTTAACATATTATCATTTGACTTCCCCAACTATGTGTGCAGTAATCCACTTTGCACTGCACTCTGAGGGCAAGACTATTCACAGGCCTGGTCAATGGTCTGAGGGGACTCAATGAAGACTTAATCCATTTGGGGACTCCGCAAATGGATTTGGGGCTTTTATTTTCTTTTTTGGCCCCAACAGTTTATTGGCCTATAAGTCACATATCATACAGTTCAATAGTTCAGTCACCTCAAGAAGAGTGTACAATCACCACCACGACTGATACGACAGCAGTAATCATGGACATCAATCTAATTAGTACTTTAAAAATGTTGGTTCCTTTCTCTTCCACCAACCAAGCCCACATCGATTTAAGTATTTCTTACTTATACTATATATTTAGACTAAATTCCCAGCCTCACGATTATTATTTATCTGAAAACATTTCCATTGTCTGTCTCATTTTTGGTTTAACCTTGAAAAATTAGGTAGTAAGTCTGGTGTTTCAAGGGAAAAGGCATTGTTGTGAGATTGCTTCCCTCTGAACTTCTGTCTCTTTCTTCCTCCTAATGCAGCTGGTGCCAGAAGGTAAGCCTCAGGCCTCTGCTCCACATCCCTCCGAGTGGTGAGTTGTGTTAGTTGCGTTCATTCATATCATCCTTGAAAGCCTGGCAGGAGCAGTATATAGTCCAGGGCAGGGGGGAGGGGAAAGTGGAGGTGAGCCTAAAGGGAAGATGGCACTGGCCAAGCCACTTCTCCTCTCGGCCTCAGGGGAAAAAAGAAGTCCTTATCCTTGACTTGATATTTCCATGATTTTACACATCACGAGCCTGTTAATGCCCAGATGAGAATGTAAACCAAATAAAAGGGGCCGTGGAGACCAGTTGGCCAGCGTATAGTGTGGAAGTCATGCTGGGGAACTAAACTACAACCAAACCAAACATACCCACATGGGGTCAGATCTGACTTGCTGTGATTCTATACAGTTGCAGATAGTGTAAACCTTTAAGGGAGAAGACAGCCTCACCTTTCTCCCATGGAGCAGCTGCTGGATACGAACTGCTGACCTTGGGATTAGCAGAAACCTAGGAATCCAGGGAGGCCATGAAGTCCTACTATCTGTTACAGTAGTAGTGGGTCTTCAATAGGTACTTGTTGAATGGCTTCTAGAACAACCACATTGAATTTATAAAATGGAGATGCAGTGTTTTAAGGATATTTCTCAGTTTTACAGATTAATTGTTCCATTAACTAACAGAAATAAATATAGAAGATTGAGTATGGGTGCTTATCAATATATTGTATTTGTCATTATGTTTCCTTTTTAATAATTGAGCTACTTAAGAGGAAATTTTATTATTTTCATATCCCCAATTTCAAATAAAATATAGATGAACAATTATTTCTATAAACTGGAGTTATATGGTATCCACACCAGAAAAAAAGGAGAGAAATGCAGTAAAATGAATGTGATTAAAGAAGAAAATAATCCAATGTTGGTCCTATTGAACCTATAAAACCATTTACAAATTCATTCATTTACTTCCTCACTCACGACAGGTGCATTGGATAATTACTAAAGCAGAATTATCCAGTGTTCGGGGCCATCAGACAGCTGCATATGCAGGAGCGGAGCTCCAGAGACGCTCCACAGCACGGAGTAGACCCCACTTGATAGCTCAGAACAGACAGGTCTCAACTAGGACGCTGGTGTCAGACTTGCAAATGATGCCAGCAGATGGTGAGATGGATGTGGAAGAAAAGAGAGTTGAGGCCAAAGCATAGTAGACAGTGACCAGTAGGGAGCAGAAAGTAACTGAAATCAAGATGGGAAAAGAGGAATCCCAAAGTTAACTGTTCCCAGCGATTGTTGCTGTTGTCGTAACTGTTCCCAGCGATTGTTGCTGTTGTCGTCGTCACTAGTTGCCAATAAGTTGGTTCCGACACATAGCGGCCCTATGCCTCAAAGAATGAAACACTGAACGGTCCTGCGCCATTCTCACAACTGTCCCTAGGCCTGAGAACATTGTTGCCACCGTGTCAATCTAACTCATCGTGGCCCTTCCTCCTTTCCCCTGCCCCTCCCCTTCACCCAGCTTTCCACTGCCCCTCCCCTTCACCCAGCTTCCCACTGGCCCTCTCCTTTACCCAGCATGCCGTCCTGCTCCAGGGACTGTTCTCTCCGGACAGCATGTCCACACTACTACGCAAGATGATGTCTTACTAGCCTTGTGAATGAATTTCCAACAACTGGGTAGCATTAAATGCTGCGAATTCCATATACCTCTAGCACATGAATTTGTTCTAAATAAGAACCAGATAATTGAATTAAATTGAATTTACTCTATTTTAATTAACAAGAATTTTAGAACCACAGAGTGGCAGGACTACGAATGTCTTTTCTAGATTCCCTTTTAATGATTCTAATAGAGTAGTTATGGAGGGGGGAAGATAGTCCTTATCAACCCAGTAATACAACAACACTAAGTTGAATATTCCTTTTTCTACAGAAAAAAACAAAAGCAACTTTAGTTGATCTGCTTTTAGAACAAGCTCCTTTCACACTCTCTTGTTGCTGAAAATACCAACCACAAGATTCCAGACTATTAGATGAATCTGAACTCCAATCGTATTTCACTACCCAAGTACAAAAGGGATGGGCAGTTATGATAGATTCACTCAGCAATCTATGTCTTTCTGGATTGCCTTGAGACTAAAGCATATCTTTAAGAAATAATGTTAGGGTATATGAGGATCCTATATTGTAAGTAAGGAAAATGGATGGCATGACACAAAGCTGCTAACCAAATGGTAGTTGGTTCAAATCTACCAGCTTCCTCAGGGGAGAAAGTTGAGGCAGTCTGCTTCTGTAAAGATGATAGCTTTAGAAACCCTGTGGGGCAGTCAACCCTGTCCTAGAGAGTTTAGTTGAAATGTATTTGATCGGAATAGGTTTGGTTATTGAACTATACTAAGAATTGTGAGGAATGCAAAAATATTGGAGGGGATTGAGTCAAAATGAAAATGAAAAGTAGTCATATCTAGATAAAATAGCACAGAATATAGGAGAGTAAACAAAAGGAGACGCTATGTACTATGCCAACTACAATTCTCCCTAGAGTTCAAAGAAAGGAAGATTAATTGGGGACTAAAAAGGAAACTTCATAAAAGAAGATAGAATTTGAATCACATGCAATAGGAAAAGGCATTCAGACTGGGGAACAACATAAAACATCAATGAAAATGTGCAAACCATGTGGGGGAAGTAACAAGGTCATCGTCCTAACTAGAGCAGTCGGGGTTGAAGAGACGGAAGATTTAGGAGCAGACAGCTAGAGTCCTTTATGAAAGGAGCTTAGACTGGGTGTTTAGGGTCTAGAGCAGAATGATAATACAAAAGGAAAAAAATCATTCCAACACTTGGATCTAAGTAGGTTATTTCTGGAATTATCAAACAATGTCTTCTGCCTCAAATGAAAACAGTGCATATGAAAACCAAACCTCTAATGTTTTATAAGCAAGCTATGATTTTCTTGGTTACGTTACGTTACGATGAGGTGCCTATCGTGAACACAGCCACAGTGAATCACGGGCCAATGCTTATGCCCGGGAGCTTGCCGCCTGGGAGAGACAGCACTTCTGCAACATAAGCCTCATTAGTATCGTATGCTTCCCATGTTAAGAATTGTGCACATTCTCTGAGAACAATCTTAATAAAAACAAGGGAAGGAATCCCAATTTGTCCTTCATTTTAGGTCTAGAGATTTTTTACTGTTTGAATTATCTATGCTGCAACTTTAAAACCAACCAAAGGAAGCCTGGTGGTGCTCCTGGCTAAGCACTGAACTTCATGACCAGCAGTTCAAACTCACCATCCACTCCCATGGAGACAGTGGCCGCTCTCTGTTGCCATAAAGATTTATGGCCTTGGGAGCATTACCTAGGCTCACTTTGGATCAGAATCGACTCACTGGCAGTAAAATTTTACAGCAAAACATACCCATAGATAATATCTCATTGTTACTGTAAGTGGCAAACCAAATGTATGCACACAATAAACACAAGACCTACATTAATAATAACCAATATTTTCTTTTTAAAAAGGTATACTGCTCAAATAATTTGAAATAATTAATACATTTGTATAAACTACACAAAACAATACAATTCTACATCTTTTTTCCTTTCTACTCATTTTGAATACGATTCTAAATTCTCATATAAGTAGAATTTAGCCAAGTCAAACTTTGGCCAAACAAGAGGTCTATGAAAACTTCTGAATGCATACCATGTCCATGTGTTTCTTCATTGATATTTCCATGTGAAACTTGCAAACATTTAAAATGTACATATTAGTTGGAAGCATCCTATAGCTCTTCTTGAAATGACAAGTAAAATCATGAAATCCCTGAATTTAAACAATCCTCCGTCATTTAATCCAAAACCATAAACTCAAGCTACAATGACTTATAATGACAGCTCATTACTTCTTGAAATAGTTAAATCCTCTGCAGGTGTCTCATAAGCAGCCAAAAGTCTTTTGCCACAGAACAGCATTACAAATATTTGAAATCTATGACGATATGCATTGCAAGGCTAACACTCACATCTTCCAAGTTTTTTAAAAATATGCTTCCTTCTCTGTCTATGCTTTTTAATGGGAAAGTTAAGTGACTTAACAACTGTGTCTTGCTAGTCTTTACATGGCACTTAATAGAGTAGAAAGGCTTCTGGAATGAACTATGGATAATCCATAGTTAAATGTTTGGTTTGGGGGGTATTTTTGTTGTTGTGGTTGTTGTTGCTTTAACCTCCCTGGTGGTCTAATTATGTCAGTAATTTTGTTAAGGGGCTTTCTCTGCAGTGTAATCCCAAGTGTGCCTCAGGGTTACCACTTCTGACAGTTAACATTTGCCCAGAGCCACCCACGGGATTACCGCCAGGGAGGCTAGGGCAGGGGTGCTCACACATTTTCAGCATGCGAGCCACTTATAAAATGATCAAGTCAAAATGGTCTACCAACTACAAAAATGCAAAACATATATTTATTTTTATTTTATTACATTTATTCATAAATGCATTGAGAATTCTTTATATATCCAATGTATGTCTACGTACATATTGCACAACACAACACCATTAACTATGTACATTTTTGTCATGACCTGAGTTGACTCTGATGACTTGCACTGAATGGAATGAGCCCGGGATGCATAGTCCGCACAGTAGCTGCTGACAGTCAGCCTCAAGCACACTTCCAAACGATCATCAGTCATGGTGGAACGGTGCTTGAACTTCATGATCTTTATGTGGGAAAAGGCTGCCTCACATAAATAAATAGAGCCGAATGATGCAGTCAAGGAGGTAGCACATTTTCTCATGTTTGGGGACTTTCCCTCTGCGAGTAAGTTCCAGAACTGTGCATGCGCTCTGGACTTCAGCTGAATGTCGGCTTGTAAGTGTCAAAATCTCCCATTCCGTATGAAAGTGATACTTTTTGTCTTCTTACTTGGTCCAGTTCCCCTACTCATTTTAATACCCTTGCTTACGTTTAAGAGGGGAAAAAACCAAGGTCTAAAAATTGGCGATAACTTAGCTCGTCAATTTTGCTGCACTTAGTGCAGCTGTTTGCGCATGCGTTTGACACCTAAGATTGCATCTGATTGGCTGCACTGTATATCAATTAAGTGACAGGATTGACAGGCTTATGTCTTTTTTTTTAATGCCATACGATCTACCCACACTACATTTGCGATGGACTCGTAGATTGTGATCGACGTATTGAGCACCGTGGTTTTAGTTGTTGAATGACCTCTCTGTGCTTTAGGGTCTTCCTTTGTAAAATAAGGAAGATAACGGAAAAAGATTCCTCAAGGTTCCTTGAATTCAACCTTACTCTATTGAAAAACTATGTTGCTGCTGTCGCGTGTCATTGAGGGACTTCTGACTCATAGCTACTCTGTGTACAACAATGAAACACTGCCTGGTCCTGCATCGTCCTCAAAATTATTCCTATGTGTAAGCCCCTTGTGGCAGCCACTGCATCTTTGTTTGTTTGGTTTTTGCTGCCCTTCTACTTTAACAAGTACGGTGTTCTTCTCTAGGGACTAGTCTCTTTTGATAACACATCCAAAGTAAGTGAGACAAGTCTCGCCATCCTGATTCCTAAGAAACATTCTGGCTGCTCTTCTTCTAAGACAAATCTGGATATTCTTTAGACCATCCATGGTACTTTCAATATTCTTTGGCAAGACCATAGTTCAAATGCATCGATTTCGCCCCCCCCCCCCATCTTTTAAAAAAATTCAATGTCCAACTTTCACGTGCATATGAGGCAATTGAAACTACCATGGCTTGGGTCAGGCACACCTTAATTAGCAAAGTAGCTTCCATGCCTTCCAACACTTTAAAGAGGTCTTGTGCGGGTGATTTACCCACTGCAATGCAGCTTGACTTTTTTGGCTGCTGCTTCCCTGAGCAGTGATTGTGTATCCAAGCAAGACAAAATCCTTGACAACTTCAAGGATTTCTCTATTGATCGTGATGTTACCTGTTGGCTTAGGTGCGAAAAGTACTGTTTGCATTGAGTTGTAATCTACACTCAAGGCTTCAGTCTTTGATCTTCATCAGCAAGTAGTCAAGTCCTCCTCACTTTCAGCAAGCAAGGTTGTGTCATCTGCATATTGCAGGTTTTTAGTAAGCGTTTCTCCAATTCTGGTGCCAAATTCTTCTGATGATATTTGTTCAGAATACAGATTGAATAAGTATGGTGGGAAGATAAAATCCTGGCTCTCACCTTTCATGATTTTAAACCATGCAGTATGCCTTTATTTGGCTCCCACATCTGCCTCTGTCTACATACAGGTTCTGCATGAGCACAATAAATGTACTGGAATTCCCATTGTTCCCAAGGCTAACCACAGTTTGTTATGGTCCACATAGTTGAATACCTTTGTATAGTCAATAAAACACAGGTGAACACCTTTCTGGTAGTCTCTGCTCTCAGCCAAGATCCATCTGATGTCAGCATTGATATCCTTTCTTCCACATGCTCTGCTGAATCCTGCCTGGACCTCTAGCAGATCCCTGTCAAGATACTGCTTTAACTGTTGTTGTATAATCTTTAGCAAAAGTTTACTTGCATATGATATCAATGATACTGTTCCATAATTTGAGCATTTTGATGAGTCACCTTCCCTTGGAATGGGTACAAATACAGATCTCTTCCAGTCAGTTGGCCAAGTAACTATCTTCCAAATTTCTTGGCATAGATGAGTGGGTGTTTCCATCATCTTATTGAAATAATTAAAACTAACCTACAATGTTAAATAAGGAACCCTGATGACTTCCTGGGTTAGAAGTTTGGCTGCAAACCACAGGGTCAGCAGTTTGAAACCACCAGCCACTCCTTGGGAGAAAGATGAGGCTTTCCATTTCTAAAGAGGTATGGTCTCCAAACCTGACAGGGGCAGTTCTAGTCTGTCCATAGGGTCACTTATGAGTCAGGGGTTTTTGTTGGTGTTGTTTAGTTGACAATGGTTAATCTGCAGGCTGATTTTCTTAGTGTTCTTAGTTGCTATGTTCTTGGGAGGTGCCCATTATGACCACAAATATAAAACATTGTATATCTGTACCAACACTGTGATTTAATTACTTTTACAGTAGGTTATTGTTAACTACCATTGAATTGATCCTGAAGCCCTAGCAACTCGGAGGTCAACGGAAAACATTATCCCCGTGATTACTCGCAGATTAGACTACGGAGTCCCATAGAGTTTTCATTGCTTGATTTTCAATAATAGATGGCTCAAGCGTTCTTCCTTCTCCCTCTTATTCTGGAAGCTCTACTGAAAGCTGTCCAACAGCACAGCAACACACAGGCCTCTGGTATCGGGAGATGACTGTGCATGAGGAAGAAAGATGGTGTAGACAGAATTAAATGGAGAACAGGAAAATCGGGATGTGGAAAGAAGGGAAGAGATTTTTAAAAATAGAAATAAAGAAACTAAATGGGTGTAAGTAATAAATTCCCTCAAAGTGCAAAAGTAAAATACAAACCACCATTATGCAAGGATGAGTCTTCTCTGACAAATACAGAATCAGAGACAAAGAGGAAACACTTTACCTGATGTTTAGTAGCTTCAGTGCATTTAGCAGCACGCCCTTTTTGACATCATAGTCTATTTTCTGATCAGTTCCAAAACTTGGGGCTCGATTAATCTGAAAATTACAAAAACAACCATTTTGAGTAGTAGTAATATGCTGGAAGGTCAGTAAACATTCAATACGTATTTGCTCATCTTACAGGAGATGCCCAAAGCTTTACAAGGCAGATGGCTCTGTTCTCATTGCCACATTTCCCACCCCCAGCTCTCTCTGGTTAAGGAATTGATTTTAGCACCCTGCGGCCTTAGCTCAGGGACTTCCTTGTGAGCAGTAACTGCCTCACTGCACTGTACTTTCGCCAGGCACTCTAGGTTGTAAGTTGAAGGAAATTAAAATGAACTCCTCAGGACATAAAAGTTGAAAGAACAATAAAAATAGGCAATATTCATGTTACCATAATAATTGTACACATTTAGCGTAAACCATCAATGCCACTATTTCTTCACGGTTTTAGATCTTTCTGATGAATTTATCTAGTGTAGCCTAAAACAAAAAACAAAAAAACTGCGTTTCTTTCTACCAAGCTCAAACAATAATTCATCATTTTCATTGTCAAAGTCATTGACTATATTACTCAAAGGATACAGTGAAGGGTAGCTGTATATTAAACTCTATGAGCTTCTCTACCTACGTAAGGACTAAAAGAAATGAATGAACCATTTGAGGCTGTTCTAGTTTCCTGTTTCATTTTCAAGAATGTATTAAAATAAAAATATAAGTAACTGTATATACCCCAAAATGAATTATGCAATATGCTATCCCTACTAGAAATTGAGGTTTGGGTTTTTTTCTGTCTCTTTGCTTATTTTTGTTGTTAGGAAAACATAATTGGAATAACAAGTGTTACTCAGAAAATTACTTAATCAATTAAAACAGTTGATTAGAATATGACTAATGAGTTCAAAGCTACCCCTTAGCTTTGTGGCCACCAACTACGCACAATCTCAAAACTTGTCACCAGTCAAAGGGAGGGGAGTTTATTATACAAATCCATCATCTTGAGAGACAAAGCAATGGTAGCATGAATTCTACCACTGGAAGCTGGAGAAAATACCACATCATATTCAAAAAATCATCCAGAATACAAATGAAATCAAGTGGAAAGGTGGCACTGGATCACTAGGAAAATTATTCAAAAACAAACAAAAATAATCACCTGTAATCTCATGACCTGGTGTTCGTGTTAAAAATGTGGTAAATTATATTGCAGTTATTTTCTCGCCATACTACTTCATGACCCCACATTTCCCCTTAACAACGTATCAGGAAAATACTTCATGCCAGCATTTTGATGAGCGCATGGAACCCCTTTGCTAGAGACCCATCATTCTGTATTTTGACTCTTTTGTGGATTTCTGATTGAGAAGGCGAGGGACATGTCCCAGTCCTTATGATGCAGTCTCCAGGGGCTGCAGAGGGTCAGGCAATTGCAAAAACATCCCTTTACTCAGGCAAATTCAAGAAAAGTTGATCAATCTGCTACTTCAGAGTTCTAAGCACTTCCTTTGTAAGTACAGAGAAAGGGTAACACAAGAGGCATGAAAAAGTTTCAACAATGGCATTACAAATGGAAGTCTCTGGACCGTGTGCTGGTGTTGTGTCAGGTGCCCTTGAGTGGGGTCCAATGCCTCGCGACCCTACGTACAACAGAGTGAAGCACTGCACCGTCCCCAAATGCCTGTATTTGAGCTCAGTGGGGCAGCCACGGTGTCAGTCCGTCCCTCGCCTCCTGCTCAGATGCTGCCTTTCCTGCAAAGGTGTTTGTAACTCCAAATACACACATGCACATACCGCAAGAATCAATCACTCTACGGATTGTACCCTTTCCTTCTATAAAACACTATTAAAAAAACACTATGTAAATGCATATCCGAGTCCCTCGTAAATGCTACCTCCTCTCAGGCAGCATTGTGACATTCTTTTGGAATTTCCATTACCCAGTACCGTGACTGTACCTTAGTGCGTTCTTCTCAAAATCACCTTAATGGTAAAGTATTAGTGGTGTATTCACACTCGCGCCAGTTTCTACTTTTACCCTAAAAAGGATTTCCAGGGTTGAGAATTTTTCTGCAAATTTTGTACTATCAATCATTGACTGAAAATTGACTCAATGGCAGTAAGCTGGGAGTTTTCAGTTAAAAGTGACCTCGTCCTCTGTAGCACCTTCTACCTTATTCCACTTGGTGGCGCCAAACGGTTCTTCACAATGTATCTTAGACCCACCACAATTTCAGCTGGGAGCAAAATTTATAGAAAAAATCTAAATAAAATTCTTTTGACTGTTTTCACACAGTGAATGTTCCCTATCCGCCTATGCTCATTATTGTTAATTTTTAAATGGTTCTAATTGATCAGGAAATGATGAAAGAATGGAGAATAAAGAACCCTGAATGCAAACAATAGTATTTGGAGCCTTTAAAAAAATACAGACTTCAACTACTTAATTAATTGTGATTTACTAAACTACTCTAAAACTCCATATAGGAAAATGAAGAACAGGTAACTAACATATGTATAGTGTTCCTTGCTAACCTTTCAGTTCGACCTCATAGATGAACCTGAATTCTTCCCCCGTTCATGAAGGAGGAGAGGCAAGTAGAAGGCAAGGATATCATGAAGAACAGGAAAGAATGACTACAAAGTAGTAAACCTAAAGAAAATTTTAGGCCTTAATACGTATGCAAGGTCCTTGAGAACATAGTCCAAGAACTTTTGCATACAAGCAGCGGTGGAAGCAAAGGGATACGAAAACCTGACATTAATCTTATTTCTCACACATCAAACCCAAGCCATATTCCTTCACTGCCACTGGGTCCCTGTCGGGCAGCTATTGAGTGGACAGCCATGGCTTTCCCCCACACGGTGGCGTGTGGCCTTGAACTGCCAGTCTAAGTGGCTGAGCTCTTACTCACTCTGCCACCAGGACTTCTGTCCCAGGACACAAGCAGAAATAAAATCGGAAAAAAACACATTTGCTTGAAAATTGAATGCACATTACTGAAAATGCACACATGGAAACCTATGGCCCTCAAGGTGGAAAACTGTTCTTTCAAAACAAATATTTTTTAATATCTTGATTTCATTTATTATATCCAATTTGCTTATACAACCATTAAGATTACATATGTAACTTCCAATTTATAAATCACTAGCAAAAAAAGAGATATCAATTTAAAATGAAAGCTGCTTGTCGATGATACCTTCCATAACATTCTGTTCCTGAAGAGCAACTAACTCAGTATAAACTGCTTAGATGTACGTTTTCCCACGCGCTTCCGAGACACAGAGTCTTGGTCCTGCAAGGGCTTTATGACTCGGATCAGGGAGCCAGAGGTATTTCTGTCCGGCACACACTTCTAAGGTTTCTTCCACGTATAATATAAATACAAATGAATGGAAGGAAACAGAAAAATCACATAAGACATAATTTTTATTTGTACATTTTCACCTGCATATTATGCATAGGTCCCAAATGCTCGAGTGATTTTTTTAAATGTTGTTGTTTTTTTAATTGACAACGCTGACCATGGTAGGGATTGACAGCTCACTCAAAGGTGCAGAGTTGACTGGGTGATAAGGGAGGGTCTTAAAATATTCCAAATGGTTGTAAAGGATAACTCATGTCACTTGGATGTTGACTAAGGAATATGGATTAGAGCTTCTCTTGGAGCCTCCCAAGGGAGACAAAAAGAAGGAGTCACAATGCCATAATCCTGAGCCCAGCCTCAACAGAGGGGAGATAAAATGTAAACATCACGAAGTGGTAGAGCCATGAAGTTAACATTATAATCGAGCAAGCAGACAGCAAATCAGTAACAAATTTACACATGCATTCAAAATTCCTGGTCTAGAAATCCACTCAGACAATAGTTAACCCTTGAAAACATGGTTTGAATGGTGCAGGTCCACTTAGAGTTTGATTTTGTTTATAAAACGCATGTGACGCTGATCATTTCTGCGTGAGCAGGTCTTCTCTCATGTCGCCATAAAAGTTGATATCCCAGGGTTCTTGAGTGTCTTTCCTGGTGTCGAATGTGATACAAAACCCAGGCCAAGTCCGCTAGTGATGTTGAAGTGCTCCCAAGGGGCAGAGACAAGTCAAGACGGTATAAGACCCAGCTGACAGCCTGATCTGCACCGCAGACTGAGGTCTGCAGCTGTGGCTGGTCACCATTGCCAGATAAAGGAGCCCAGGAAAAAGACCAAAGACAATGTGAACGAGCCCTGGGAAGCCATCACTGCAGCTAAGTCACGCACAGAAACCTCGTACTTTTGGCTAATTTGTTTGTTTTTTTCCCTAAGCAGAAAATCAAATTTTATGTAGGGACAGCATATAACAGATATAACACAAAAACATGTCTTAATCAACCATTAACATTATTGGTAAGGCTTCTGGTCATCAGTAGGATGTTAGTAAAGTTTCGGGGGAGTCAGCTATATGAGAATTTTCCAATTTGAGAAGTAACATCAAATACACAGAGATTCACTTTGGAACTGTTTCATATCCTGCATTTTCCTTTCCTTCCCCCTACCCCTGCCCCATCTACTCTATTCACGCCTCTTTTTGTTCAGTTATTAAGACAACTGTGCCAAGCAGTCACCTGTAATAAGTGTACAGCACATTTAGAAATCATTTGTTTCCATTTATCTTTCTTTTAAAAGACAGGCTTACCTCCAGAAGCCACGGTTTGAGTTTTCTATCCAACAAAATATCAAATCCCAAGACTTCAAAACAAACACTTTCACTTCCTGGAGGCTGGCCAGGTCTGCACATTCGATACGCATGCAGCACGTGAGGTTCTGCTACAATCAAGGTCTTCACCACCAGGTCCTATAAGGATTGTAATAAAAAGATGTGAAAATGTCCTTTAGATCTCATTGACATTCGCTTCTCGTTTACATATGTGGGGATGTGCCCTGGGCTTAAGAACTAGCTTCCACTAGCCTGCCACTGCTCTGACGTCATTCCACCTGCTCTTCTTCCCTGTCCACGCTGCTCCCACTCGATTTGCCTTCTGTGTTCCTCTGGTGATGCTTCTCCTGTTTCAGCCCTTTGCACTCGCTGCTCCCGCCGCCTGGAATGCTCTTTCCATGACAAGCTCCTCAGTATTCAGAGAGACCTTCCTGACTCCGGAGTCAAGAGTAGCCACCCATCAATGCTTATGTCACTTTTTTCTTCTTGGCTATGCTACTTCCAAATCATGCCACTTCAGTCACGCTGCTTCAACTTAATGAGTCTCGTTATTAGAATCTGGTACCTGTTTTATTTACAACCCCATTTCCCATAGCTACAATACCTAGCCTTGAGTTGTTGTTGATGGGTTCTGTGGAGTTCACGTGGGCTCAAAGCAACCCCACAGCAGAGTAGGACTGTCCCCAGAGGGTTTCACAGACTATACTCTTTGTGGAAGCAAGTTGTCACAATTGTTTCTTGCAAAACAGGTGGTGAGTTCAAAAGCTGACATTTCAGTTGGCAGCCAACTGCTTAACCGTTATACCACCAGGGATTAAATGTGCAAAAAAATCTTTGTGAATCAGTAAATAAATAAAACCTGAAATATGTGGTTTCTAATTTTTTATATAGAATTATATACTGAGGTTTATGCTAGTCTTTTCAATAACAATACCCAAAAAAATGGTAGCAAAGAAGAAATTCCAAGAATAAATTAGTTCACAAACTTATGAAACTACTTTGACTAGGACTGAAAGGGCCAGTAGATCAAAACTTATGAATCACATTTCTTTGTACAATGATGTCTTTGTAATCTATAATGTTTATCTGAAATAAGAGTACTGCTAATTAAGTCATTGGCTACCAAAAGTTTCTGTAAGAAACACATAATACTTCCAGAGTGAGTGGCTAATGATAACAAAGAAAAGGTAGATTAATTGCAGAGTGCAAATAAGCTATGAATTGTGGAAATAGTGTCTCATTGTTTTCCCTTCAAATATAATGTCTTTTTAACTGCCAATTTGCAACTATAGCCAATGCTGGGGTTCTGAAGCCAAACTTCTTGGGTTTCTTCTTGGCTGTGCTACTTCCGAATCGTGCTGCTGCTATCAGGCTGCTTAAACTGAATGAGTCTTATTACTGCCAGAGATAATTTGGGAAGATAAATAGTATCTGCTGCAAAGATGGTTCTAAGGACAAAGTGTGATGGTATGTAGACCTCTTAGCATAGTGTCTAGGATGCAGTAAATCATCGAGAAACATTAGCTACTTAACTAATGGTAACCACTTACAGTCAAGTGGACTCTGACTCACAGCAACCCATGTGTGTCAGTGTGCAGTGCCTGATTTTTCCAGTATATCAAGTCTTTGTTCTAAGTGCCCCTGTGTAGTTATACCTACAGCCTTTTGATTAGAAGCTCTGTGTGGTCCATTTGCACCACCTAGGGATTCCTAACTACTTAATGACTTCCACTGTTACTCTTATTTTGTCATTGACTACAGGGTGGGAGTAATATCTATTATATAGGAGAATAAAGGTCAGATAAAGTTAACCACACTACCCAGAATCCCAGCCCTGCTCCCATCTGGTAAGAGGTGTCAGAGATGTTGTGAGAGTCTCAGAAAATTCTGTTTAAAATAACAAATATTTATTTGTTATTTTATCACTCTATCAACATAAAAGACAAAATCGTTTCCTACAGAGCATTGGAGGTTACTAGATCCACTTGAAAGGAAGCGGAAAGAGTTAAAACTTTGACTAGTTCATGTCTTTGTAAAACACGACAAGCTGGGGAAATTTGAAAATGAATTCATACACCCCAAATTATAATTCTGCATTTGCTGTGCATAAAACAACACACTTTCAGGAATATGAACGCAAGATTGTCCACTGTATCTGAAAATCAGGAGAAATGGAACGAAGAGCAAACTTCATTAATGCTTAAAGAGAATTTTTTGCATAATAGCAATGCATTGAAATACAATTTGTAAATTAGTACCTTAAGTATACAAAAAGTATTCAATAGAGTGGTTTTTTAGTTATTTTAATCATTTTAAGACACAACACCCTGATTTTCTATAGATTCCTTATTTATTCTTGCCCAGTAACATACGATGTACATCTGTTTTTGATAGAAGGTATGCATTAATTTCATTTTTCATGTACAGATGATTCTTCTTAGAGAAATTATCCCCCTGCACAAGTCATTTTCAAAGTCCTAACTTTGTAAATTTGGAAACTGAGGGAGTCAGAAAAAGATTTACTTCAAAAACTTCATCCTTTTATTCTCTTTTCAATGCATTACCTCACTGGGTCACAATTCACCTTAATCAGATATTTATAGAAAGTATATGTAATTCTTAAGAAAGAAAATTTTCAAATTTTCGATGACATAAACGATGACAGCTTGAGCAAATAACTATAAGAAAAGTACTGGGCGATGTTACTAGATCAGAGGTTATTGTTCATTGGTATTAACATCCAGTCTAAAGTAACCACGGATGCTGAAAATATAGCCATTCATGGACAACATTCTGAAATGTGTCAGACCTTCATGGCCCAAATTGGTCTTGTTCCAAAAATAGTCATATTTGAAAATTATACTTTGCACTCAAACATAAAATTTCCTATCTCCTTATTAAGATAAGTCTTAGCTATATGAAAAACCGCAAACAAAGGAGACCGGTCGCTGTAGACTCAACTCCAAAGCATGGTGAACTCGCGTGTATTAGAGCCATGATCCATGGGGTTTTCGATAGCTGTTTTCTCAGAAGTAGATGACCAGGACTTTCTTCCAAGGCACCTCTGGTGGACTCCAAATTCCAACCTTTCAGTTAGCAATTGAGCAAGTTAACCATTTCCACCCATTGCCTTCTCCTAATTCAATTATGTGAGAAGAGCACCCATTAGAATAAGTCTCTGTAAACCTTGACAATGCTGGCTTTCTTTCTAGCCCAACAGCTTCAGCCTTTCACAAAGCCCCTCCCTAAGATTCGAACCTATGTGGAACAAAAGGATGTCAGGGAGCATAGATAATTTTCTTGGTCCCATTGTGATGTCACTAAATGACCCATTCATTAAAACCACCTTGATCTCATCTTGTATTAGCTTTCATTCATTAGCCAAATGCAAAAATAACTCATTCAATCCCTTTGATCTTCAGATTCTCTGTGATAGCAAACTTACATTACTAAAATATTTTCTGGAATCTCTACAGCAGTGACCTGGGTAAAGTAAATAATTAATACGCGTTTGTTGTAACCAATTCCTAGTTTGGCTGTCCTCTCCCATGAAAACAAAATGGAAAATTAAGAAACTGGTAAATATGTGGCTAAATGAGGCTGACAAATATATTTTGTACAACTTTTACAATTTTCAAAAATTTGAACAAATTTTCAACACCTATAAATCAGGATCTTTATGGTTAAAAAAAATTTTTAGAATGATCTATTTTATAACAGTAGTCTGATCACACATGGTCCAAGAACGATCCAATAGCAAACCAGATATCATCAGATGTTACAGACGGGTCTTCAAACATCATAGCCGATGATGCCTTGTCTGCCTATGATCTCATCATTGTACAACCACATCCACACTCCAGTGGCCACCAAACCATTCAGCAGAGCTTCCTTAATTGTGAGCTGTTTGAAGTGACCAGTCTTAGCATTACTGACTATTTTTTTCAGGCTTTGACTGGTTGCAGGGATCTCGGCAGGGATTGGAGGAACCAGCTCCACCCTGGCATCGTGCCAACACGTGGCCAATTGAGGCTTCGAATAAGTCCCAGCAGCATTCCCCACGCCCAGAGCCTTCTTTATCAGGTCACAGATACATTGGGCCATGGTTCTTGGCCCAAAATGACTGGTTGAATGGTGTTTTTTTATTTTCTTTTATTTTTATGGATTAGAAGAATATGCCACATGGCCCCTAAAACACCCGTGGCACAAATAAGTGGATGCTGAGTGGTGGCTGTCGTCTTTAGAGAGACTGCTTATACTTTTTAAATCACCACAACTCCCAGGAGACCCTATTTTTTTCTATTCAGACTACTTCACTTCTTACTTGCCTGACATCTAAGGATATTTATATCAACAGCTGGTGATACAAAACATTAGATTTTTTAAAATCACCCAGAAAAATAATAAACAAAGGGATAAATATATGATATTAATTCTCTCTCCAACTGTTTCTCTCAATTAGAGAAAATCAAGCTCAACAACTGTGAATTTCCCTAGTCATTTTCCATGATACATGAAAGTATATACAGCTCATCACAAATCAAAGAGTCAAATTAAATTATATAGCCCTAATCTTAACAAGACCTTAGAAGCAAGGCTACTGAGACTTTTGTGTCTTTACAGGTGCTCTCGGTGGGTGGAGGGAGGGCAGTTTGGAGAAGGACATGATGCTTGGTGAAGTGGAGGGTCAGCAAAAGGGAAGAGGAAGAGTCTCGAAATAACAGATTGACACAGGGGCTGCGGCAAGGGGCTCAGATATAATGAGGATTGTGAGCGTGGGCCAGGTCCAGACAACGCTTCCATCGGTTGCACATGAGGTCATTATTAGTCAGAACCAACTCAGTGGCGCCTAACAACAAAAACAACCATCATCTGAAGTGTTTTCAATAGACCTATTCCCCTAACTCACCATTTGAATGACTCTGCGAGGATCAACAAAGGCTCTGCTTCGCCAAAGGTGATTTGCTCTTCTGTGTTCCCTTTCTCGCTTTGCTTTCACTATTTTGAATTTCATCTACTGCTCTGCACTTTAATTCTCGAAAGCATACAAACCATCCCCTTTTAGTTATCTGTCTGGATTTCCTACCTGAGAGAGTATTTACATGTCTACAGTGGACCATGTCATCGTAAACTTTTGGACTTTAAAAAACCTGAGTTCAGGTGTCAATGCCTCTGGGAAGTGCTCCCTTACCCACAAGCTACTCTATGTGGTTTCCCGATCTCCCTCCACAAAATCTAATATATACCTGTGCTGTTTGAGGGGGCCTCAAAATATTCTAGGAATATTTAAATTAAAATACAATGGGCATTTGTCATAAACTTTCTGAAGTCCCCTTGTACTTGCTACATTGAATTTTATTAACAATTTGTGGGCTGGTTAGAGCTGTGCCTTATAAATATTTGTGTTCTCAACAGAAAATGCAACTCCAGTTTATGTTGTGGTTCAATACACTTCCATAAACAAATTAATCAACAAATCAAACTATTTTCTGTCATCTTCAAAACCAAACTCTATTCACTTCTATTCAAAATAAGTTCATTGCTACCCTATTTCAAATAATATGACCCCTTCTCTCCCAAAAACACCTGCATATAACTGTATCCTAACTGTCTTGGAAACAGTACTGTCAGAGTGCTCTGTAGAGGCATGGATGGTGAGACTTCCTCTTACATACTTTGGACATGTTGTCCAGAGAGACCAGTCCCTAGAGAAGGACATCATGTCTGGTCAAGTAGACAGGAAGAGAAAAAGAAGAAGCTTTCAAGGAGAGGGACTGGCACAATGGGCTACATCACTGGGCTCAACATAGGAACAATTGTGAGGCTGATGCAGGATGTGTTTCATTTTGTTGTGGGAAAGGTTGCTATGGGTTTGAACTGACTCAATGGCACCTAACAACAATAACGACAAAGCTGCAGTGGGATCTTATACTCCCTCATCTTTGATTTTGAGTTAAACCAATGTTGAGATCATTATTAGGTCTTTTACATTTTCAGTGTCCACTGTGGTTCTATTAAGGGTACTCTTATTTCTCACTTCCAAATTCCTTCTCTACTTATTCTTGGTAGTCACCCTAACCCATCCTACACTGATTGCCACATTTATCTTTTAAATGTGTCATAACCTTTGGCTACATTACCCTTTTGCCTTAAAATTTTGAGTGAGTTCCTACTGCCTGCCAAATTCAGCCTTGTTTTTCAGACCTAAATTTTAGCCTCCATATACATCTTTTCAGATATAAATCCCCATACCTCTCAAAAATTCTATACATCCCAAACTGCTGTATCACTTATCACCATGCTCATACCTCCTAGGCTTTACTTAACTTTTTTACCCCTACCCAGAATCCCACCCGCACCCCATCCCCATCTCTAGCAGTAAGTACCCTGTTCATCAACAAATTCCAACACCAATTCCACTTCATGAAAGCATTCTTTATCTACCCAACACAATGCAATCTGTTCTTTATTTGAAATGTCTGATTCTCCTTAAGATGAATGATGTAGAATGATAGTTACAATTGTGGAATAGTATAATCTTACTGAAATATCACTCCAAAACTTAGCAACATCATGGTGATTTGCTTGTAGGAATTCGGTAAACCATCTGATGGAGCGTTTGCTTCCTTTGTTTTCGGTTTCATCGCGCTCGAAATGCTCATTGTGCTTGTTCACAGAGTAGTTTGTCAAATGCATGTACAACTGGGTCTGCAACAAGAGAACATGTGAGAATCTAGAACTGTGAGATTTCACAGGAAAGAAGGCATACAAAGAGTAAAGGTACCTCTAACTTCTAACAGATAGACTGAAATTTTGCTTACAAAAGAAAATCATCTATGGGTTACTTTTGTACATTATTCACAATATAGCTACCAAGAAATCTTTACATTAGTAAGATTATTGACAGTAAGGAGAGCAATAAATTAAGATGTGAAACTACCACATACTGCTAAGCAAAAAAAAAAAAAAACACTCTAGACTTGTTTTCATTTTTCATGATCTGGTCACTTAAAATTTTTGCCCCAGTTTTTGTTGGGAAAGAAGTTTTCTGAAATCATTATACTTCCTTCTAAAGAAGTGAAAGTAACAAATGAAATTCAAGTAAGTAGTATAAGCTAGAAAGGCTAACATCTGCCCTCCTCATGTCTCAGAGACCACTGTATTGCCTAAGTCACAGTCAGTTGACGGAACCCACCCTGCAAGGTTCTACAGAGGTCTCCATGGCTGAAAATATATGCATAAAGCTCTTAGGTCTTTGTCTCTCTACATTATTGTACTTGTTGAAATGGTTTACTGCAAATAAATTTGAAAAAGAATCCAAAATTTTACACTTTCCAAAACTATCCATTAAGAGACATCTAGTGGCTCCCTATTAGTCGAGCATGAACATTCAAGTGTATCTTTAAATTCCTACCCTCATAGTCCTACACCCAAAGATGCCTTTAGATTGCAGTGCTGCACGAAAATAAATATAATTTTGTCCACACGATTATTTTAATTTGTATTTGTTACTAGACAAATATATGAATATATTTTTTCACTGCAATAATGTAGGTGTAAGATATTGAAATCTTTGAAGCAAATACATAGGACTGATCATTTGAGTTATAATATTGTTTATTAACCCATTAAGAATATATTTCCCCTCAACAAAATTTAAGGGTCATCTACTTTGCACAAAAATTCATGCTGAACAGTATGTACAAAGATGAACCAAGTAGTAGACACAGACTTCCTCATGAAACTTAGAAAATGCTTCAAATTAAACACTTAAAAGAACAAATTTTTTTGTTCTCTAATTTTAAGTGTGTGACATAAGGAAAGTACTCAGGTGATATTTCCTGGGTTCTAAAACACACACCTTCCTTTAATGTAAAAAACAGACATGTTGGGAAGCACTAATTTTTTGAGAAGCTCTCCAGTAGGCAAAAATGTTTTGAAATAAACAATAATAGCACTAATTAGAAAATTAATTAACCTAATGAAAAAGTATTGAAAAGTGAAACGTTTTACTTTCCTTAAAGCTTTTTCGTTTGTTTTTTTCTTTTTTTAACAGTTTTATTGGCATGTCATTCACATATCATACAATTCAATAGTTCACTCATGTTGAGAAGAGTCAGTCATACATCGTTTTAGTTTTCTTTCATTTAGTCATTTTTAAATGCAGTCATGTAGAAAATATTCATGAAATGGCTAAACTGCTAATTGCATATTTCTAACATACTAAATTCTAAATGTTCACACAAACCCTGAAATCATCTTTACCATCAGTAGTTACACATAATCCGTAGCTTAAGGCTAAGACTGAAAAGCCGCATTACAATTTGAATGAATCAAGACTAGAGAAGTTTCCAAGCTCCACATATGCCATCCATAAAAATCCTGAAACTGAAAACGTGGGTCATTACACTCAATCCCTGTAGTTCACAACTTTTTTTAATGTTTCTTAGGTTGTCCACTTCTCTTCTGTACTTTATTTTTCTTTGTAGTGAAACCTGTCTTTTCTTCAATAAATAAACTTTTAGAATGCCTTTGTGCAGGATTTGAAGCAAAATTAAGTTCTTGCTTAGGTTTACTGATGTTCTTCAAGCCGGGACTTGAATTTTGTTGTGTTAGTTTTTCTTTATTGGCAGAATGCCTAATTCTAGGTTTTCTTCCCGTTAGTTCAGGATTATTTAATTTCATAGCATATTGCATCACACAACACATAGCCAGACCCTGTGCCACATGGTCCAATCACTTGATCTCTCAAAATTCTCACAACTCCAATGTATCTGAAGTCAGAAAAGTGTTCTTCCAGAGCAGATGCTTCTATTTTGTAGGGAGATTTCCCACAAATACCGGTCCCTTTTCCCTAGATGCAGTATCAGATGCAAGATCAACTCTAGTGGGAAACCCATCTGGAATTTGGATTTCATTTATTTTTAATGCTTTTGTAGCAGAATTTTCATCCTTAAACACAACATATTCATATTTTTCTGCTAGGGATGAATTTTCCATTTTAGCTGCCAATTTTGTAGATAAAGTCCCCTCTGTTGGAATCAGAGAAAGGAACTGTACAGATTTCATTAGTCCATACTCCTTTTTAAAAGACTTCAACTTCTTCTTATTACATGTGACAGGCAACCAGCTAACACATTCCCTCATTCTTTAATCTCTCTTCTCTTCTTGGGTGATTTGAATTTTCTTTCTTTGATCTATACCATCAAGCACTTTCTATCTACTGCTTCAGCAGCAGCATCACATGATTGAGAACTTTTCCTTTTCTTCTCCTGTTTCTGGTGAATTTCTTCTTTTAAATCTGCAAATGTTGGAACACTCTCCCTGTATGCCAACTTTTTTTCTGCATCAGAAAACTTCTGCTTCACTTTCTTTTTTTTTCTTTTTTTGGAAGGTTCTTGCAAATGTGGTCTTTAAATCTGAGAAGTACTTTCTTCCCTTTCATCCTGTCATGGATTGAATTGGGTCCTCCCAAAATAAGTGTCAACTTGGCTGGACCATTGTTCTCTATGACTTGAAAGTTATGCAATGATGCAATGTAGCAAGGATGAGGAGAAAGGGAGAATGATGAGGCTTTCTACGCCTGTAAAGATTTACAGTCTCCAAAATCCACAGGGGCAGTTCTACTCTGTCCTATAGGGTTTGCTATGAGTCATAATTGACTCACTGGCAGTGAATGAGAATGTAGCAGTTATGTAATGATTCTTCCATGATGTGATAAACCAATAAAAATACTAAGGGTAGGGTGCAACAGGCTTAATCTCATCTCAACCATGATCCCACGTAAAGAATATTTCCCCAGGGGGAGGGGAGTAC